ATAAATAAAATATAGCACTCTTCTTTTCTTCTTCTAGTGGTTATAGCAATGCATTTGAAAATCTGAAACACATACCCATCATAGGCACCACTGACAATCCTCTTGTTATCAAATCGGATGCATCGGACCAATTCTTCATGTCCCTCCAGGACTCTTAAGCAGGCACCACATTCAATATCCCAAAGCCTTGAATGAGAAACAGACATCTGTGCGACAGATTCCCACACAATTCACAAGATTCTCAAGTTTTTTCTATCTGTTCTACACAGATAGGACTTCTCTTTGTGAGTTCTTTATTTTTACCTCACTCAACATTACAAACATAAAGATATATAAGGACACAAATTATTCGTGTTTTCTTAAGTACTAATTAGAAGGAAACCTCACTTTCTGTTGTATTTCCTTTTACACACTAAAACTTTTTAAAATCATGGGCATTTACTATTTAAATCAAATCAACAAGAAACTTCAATTGTATGTAGTTCTTAGGCATTCTCTTAATAGCTGACTTAACAAAACCACATAGCCAAACAATACAGGAAGTACTTTTCAGGAAGAGATGGCAATTGCAGACAGTAAAAGAGAAAAAGCATGTTTGGGGAAGGAGACAGATAGAAAATACCCACAGCCAGGGACTGTAGCACATAGTCCATGAGGCATCCTGGGGTTAAGAGTGGTGGAAGGGCATGTGATCCCCCAAACATGATGATGTTCTTCCCCCTTCACACATATTAGAGTCATTTTGTTTATAAAGTCTGAGTAGGAGACTCATCATGTATGGGCAGTACCTCAGAAATATAAGCCTAGAGACTACATTAAGCCTTTTTTTCTCTGCATATGAATAACATAATAATGTTGGAGTTCAGAAATTTTTTTCCCATACCATTAATTTTTATACATTATTTAAAAAAAAAATCACTGCAACTAGAATGTACAAAACTTTAAAGAGAACAAACTAACATCATTGACTTTTTGAAAGCTTCTCCACCAGAACTTCCATCATGCATCCAATGAACATTTTTCTACAACTGCTCTCAGCAAATATGCTCTAGGAAGTGATGACAGTATCTTTAATCTATTGTGAACAGAGCCATTCACATGGCCACTATCATAGTACCCTTTCATAAACTGTAGAACAACGTATATTATCTGGTAAAACCTCAGATTTTGCAGTGAGGAATTTAAGGGCTGTTTACTTGGTAACCACTTTAACAGTTTACCAACAGTAGCACTCCAGCAGCATTTATTTACTATCTGGAACACCACTAGGGCAGATATCATTTTAACCAATCAATTCTTATATTGAATAAATTTGGTAAAACTGTCATTCTTATATCTCCTATTATACTATTTTATAAAAATCAATGAAAAAAAATGCAATTATGGTCATCTTGTATTTAAATAATTGGACTAGTAAGTGGTTAAACATTAAGCAGTATCATTAAGCATGAGCATGATAAGACTATGATTTAAGCTCAAAACTTTTATGTATCTTAAAACTCAAAGAAAACCTATAATTTTATATCATACTATACAAATACATATAACTATTACATAAAATTAAAACAAAAGACTCAAAAAATTAGTAGTATAGCTTTTGTGTTTACCTACTTACCTTTAAAAAAGTCTTGAACTTAGTCTTTATTTAACCCAGATTTTAGGCAATCTGGTTGTAAGTACTAAAATTAGCCATTTCTGTAAAGCTACTAGCATGCACTGGTAAAATTAAAAAAAAACATGACTTGGGATAATTAAATAGACATCTAAGGAATATTCTTTTTTGTTTATGTATTTAGCACAGGGTCTACAGATCTCACTACACAGATCAGACTCGTAGTGATCCTCCTGCTTCAGCCTCCCAAGCACTGGGATTACAGGTGGGCGCCACTACACCCAGTCTCAATTGCTGTATCAGTGTGCCCCTGGGGTGAGGCCAGCACAGCATGCGGGGGATCGAACCCGGGTCACTGCGCCTACCTAAGCAGGTGTTTTAGTCCACTGAGATATCTGGCTGGTTCCATTAAGGGATATTCCTAATAATATATAAAATGTCTAATCCTACTCCTATTTATTAAAAAGCAAAGAGGCTGAGTGTCAGAAACAAAAAGCACAATTTGTAGAAATAACCAGCTGGAGAAGATGAATCTGTAGTGCAGTCTTGGGAGAAAGAAATCATGTACACTGCTGTTAGGGTGGGAGTTGCAGCTCACAGGTAAGGGAAAGCAGAGTGTGTTAAGCTAGAACACCCCAGTCCATTCTGAGGTGTGCTGCTATTACATAATCCTGAGTAGAGTTGGGGCTATAAAACTGTGTTGGGAGAACCTTGGAAGAACAGGGCATATACAGTTTCCCACTTGATTCAGCAGAGCCAAATTTATAAAAGCTCCCAAGCTTTTATAATCTGAAATCTCCCATTTACTGAGTTGTCCAAGCCTCAGCATTAGGAAATGAACACTATGGCAAAAGTAAGCCTGCTCTGTCAGCACACCAACTGTACTCACCTGATGGTATTATCTGATGATCCGCTGACCACCAGACGGTCCCTGTACTGGAGACAGGCAATGCCTCGCTTGTGCCCATTGAGAGTGCGAACAAATTCACAGGTGCTTGTGCTCCAGACCTGCAGGACAAACACCAATGTTCTTATGAATGAATGCGGGAAAGTCCTCCCACAACTCACCTTTTAAAAAGAGTACAATTTCTAAGAATAGCCCAAAAACACGTTTATAAAATATGGCCACTTTTAACTTGAAATTGGAACTGACTGGACAGTATAAAATTTTCTTGACTGTTGAGTGATAAAACTGGACTGAAAAACAAAAGGCAGCTGTGAAAACTTCAGACTTTAAGGTCTTCACAAAGAGAACACCTTTTGGATGGCTCAGACATTCACTTATTTGCAGGAAAGTTTGCATCATTTTTTTTAACACCAACTAACAGGTCAAATTCAACATAACTGGTATTTTTTAAATATTCACCTTTCATATCCTCTTTCCAAGCAGTTTTTGAGCAGCTCTACTTACTTTGATATATCACTCCTAATATTACATATATAGAATAATCCTCTCGTAAAATCATTGGCTAGACTAGATGTCCACAGACGCAATATATGATAAACTAAATAAGGACATACAAAGCAACTGCAGTGCTATGAATTATTATGCCAGCTGTACTATCAGTTGAATGGATTTCTACACCAAAAAGAGGAGAAGGCAGAGAAGGAGGTGGAGGAGGAAGAGGAAATGTACTAGCAGTAGTAGTAGTAGTAGTAGTAGTAGTAGTAGTAGTAGTAGCAGCAGCAGCAGCAGCAGCAGCAGCAGCAGCAGTAGTTGGATCCCCTATTGCACACTCTACAGAAGTAAGTCTTTTTAACTTGGGATCAGACAATGGTTTCTTAGATATTACAATAACAACAAAACAAAAATCTCTGGGAGGCTGAGGCAGAAAAGTTGCAAAATTGAGCCAAGGCTGGGCATCTTAGCAAAACCCTTATTAATAAATAAATTAACTAATTAATTAAACTGGGCAGTATTGAAATTACTATATTTCAATTTTTTCCAAAAAAATTTTATGTTTCAAGGGACACCATAAAAAAGTGAAAAGATAACTCCTAAAGAATGAAAGAGGGCTGGGGAGATGGCTCAGTAGAATAAGCGCTTCCCTGACAAGTGCAAGGGCCCGAGTTCAATTTTCAGTTCTGGGAGAAAAAAAAAAAAAAAAAGATGGTTCTTTAAGCCCATTTCACTTAAGACAAAATCAAATACACCTGAAATATTTTAAATTAAGAAACAACTGTATGGGTTTAAAAGAAAAAGAAAAAGAAAAAGATGATTCTTTGAGCAAGCTCAACATTCACAAACTACTGACAGGATTAAGAAATGGTGCAGCCACTTTGGAAAACAGTTTGGCAGTTTCTCAAGATGTTAAAAACACAGTTAGCATCCCAAGAGATCTAAAAATAAATATGCAAAAACCTGTTATAGTAGCATTATTCATAATAGTCAAAAACTGAAAACTACAATGTACACTGAAAAATGAAAAAAGAAAATACAGGGCTTTTATTTGGTCATCAGAAGGAATGAAAAAAAGGAAGAAATGAAATAGTCACATATGCCTTGAAAACATTATTTAAAAAAAAAAGCCAGACACAAAAGGCCAAGGTTGTGTGACCCAAGGAGACAGAAGGGAGATTAGAGGATTCCACAAGCTGGGGGAGAGGGTGGAGACTAGCTGCTAATAGGGATGCTAAGGCTTACATCTAGATGTCCCCCTAAAGGCTCATGCACTCATCAGTGAGGCTTTTCAGAGCCGGCTAGATCTAGTATGTGACACTGGGACTGAGGACGTGTGGTACTTAAGTAGCCCACTGACTGGAACTCGCACATTCCTGGGCATGGGTGGCAGTACCTGAGAGGCTTGCAGCCTGTGGGGATAAAGGGAAAGGCCAGCTTGCTTCTGCTGCTGCTGGCTGCGCCTCTGCTCGTCCCACCATGACACGAGCTGCTTCTCCTCTGTGACACCCTTGGAGCCAGCTGACTCTGGACTGAAACCTTACAAACTATGAGCTGAAATAAACCCTTCCTCCTTTAACTTTGGGTGCCCACTATTTTTCCTAAGCAACCAGAGAAAGCAACTGGACAGTGTACAAGGTAGTTCAGATAAAAATGTGATAAAATGTTCTGAAACCATATAGTGCTGATGGGATTTATACACCACTATAAGTATGCCAATGACCACTAAACTGTACACTTGAAAGCACTAAGTCTTATGGTAAAGAAACTACATCTTAATAAAACTGTAAGAAAGCTAAAATTTACAAAAGGCGCTGGACATGGTGGCATATGCCTATAATCCTAGCACTCAGAAAGCCGGGGCAGGAAGATTCACTGTGAGTTCAAGGCCAGTCTAGGGCACAGAGTGAATTCAAGTCCAGCCTAAACTACATAGCAAAACCTTGTTTCAAAAATCAATCAATCAATCAATCAATCAGTTAATTAATTAATTGTATAGGTGGTAACATGGACATCAGTATCTGAATTCTGAGGTTATCTTAGGGGCTGGGGATTTGGCTCAGGGGTAGAATGCTTGCCTAGCAAGCTGGAAGCCCTGAGTTCGGTCCTCAGCACCAAAAACTAAAAATAAACCTCCTCTAAAAAAAAAAAAAACTCAACAAAAAAATACAGTAAAATCAAAAAAGACCAAAAACAAACAAGGCAAATGAGGTTATCTTAAATTGTAACTATTGTCGCCTAACTGAAGTTAACCACATGTTGAGCTTCCTGAAGGCAGGAACATATCCTGTTCATCCTCTTTTCTCCAGCTTTCATCCCAGGACGTATGGCACACACAGTACGCCCTCAAAATTAAGTGAATACACCATATCCAAGTTCTGTCACAACCTAGCTGTGCAATCTCCAGTACAGCTCTTCACTCTGAGCCACATTTGCAAAACAGGCAATACCATTCTTAAAAGGGAGATGGTTCTGTGAAGCTTCTAGCCCACAGAACACTCAACAGATGAATAATCTTTCCCTTCACAGGGTTACAAGCAGTGTCACCCCACACATCTGAGGACGAGGCTCTCTCTATTCGAGACCCATAACTTTTCCTTCTATCTCGTCTGAGACTCTCATGTTGAGAGGGAGGTACTCAAGGGCTCATGAGCACAAATGGAGAATGGAGCTCTTGCCAGTAAAAAGTTAGTAAAGCCTGCTGCAGAGGAGGAGTGGGGAGGGCTATGACTGCATATACACTTACTTTGATGGTCCTGTCACCAGAGGCAGACACGATATACTTATCGTCAAAGTCGACTACATTGACAGCAGCACGGTGGCCAACCAGGACTCGGCGTAGAGTGATATCAGTGGCAGAAGCCATATCCCACACAGCAATTGAACGGTCCTTAGAACAAGTCACCATCAATCCATTGCTGAAGCGTAAGTGCAGAACAGCCTCATTGTGATGGATCAGTGTGTTAAGAACTTCACCTGTGTTTACATCCCAGACTCTAAAAGGACAAATGCACAACATTTAATCACAGGGACAGCTAGGGGAAGACTCTGATGTCTGAGCTCTTGGTCTATTTTTTTTTTTCAAAGGGACTTTTTTTGGTCTTATTTTTACTATTTTCTGTTTTGGTACCGGGAATCAAACTCTGGGCCTTGCGCATGCTAGACAGACACTGCGCCGCTGAGCTACATCCCCGGCCCTCTTAGTCTACTCTTAATGTGCCTATGTACATGCTTAATGTGCATAGACACATGCTACAAGGAGGACCCCAGAAGCACTTTTCTTGCTGAGGAAGTTTCAGAGAAGGCAGCGAACCCAGGCTCTGTTCAGGTTTCTTTGGCATTCATGTATGCAGGCATATGCTGATGGCAAAAATAATTACTTAAGAAAACAGGCTATCAGTGAGTCTGAGATGCCAGGAGGAAGGAGATCTGACAGCAGAGGGACTGAGGACCCTCTCAGAGTGAAGGTTCTTGTTCATCTCTGGCAGGCCACTGAGTTTTTTTGCTTTTTTTTTTTTTTTTGTGGCCAGCTCAGCCCACCCTGAGGACAGGGCTGGTGCAGCACACGGTGCTGGGGACCAAACTGCAGACCCTGTGCTTGCCTAAGTACCTAAAGCAGGTGCTTCAGACTGCTGAGCTATCTCGCCAGCCCACACTGAGTCTGTTATTCACTGCCTGCAAACTGTAAGTCACAGTATCTCATCACACCCACTACTTTACTCAACTGTGTTGTGGACAAAGCAAGGGGCTCGCAATGGCTTCATGCTTGAGATATGGGGTTACTAGGATAGCCATTCCAGAGAAGTCAGAGTTTTTTTATAGCCCAACTTCTCTTTAAAGAGAAGTTCGGGCTGGGGAGATGGCTCAATGGAAAAAGCGCTTCCCTGGCAAGCACAAGGGTCTGAGTACAATCCCCAGTTCCACCAAAAAATAAAAATAAAGACAAGTTTACACAGAGCAGAAGAGAAAAAGCTCTTACATCTGTAAGGCTGAGATGTGATCTGTGGGAGAATTTAACAGTATGGGGGCACTGTGTCAGGGAAGGGATAGTAGGCACACTATGGGCACGAGTGGAGAAAGAGCCCAGGGCTACGGCAAGACTGGTAAGCAAAACTAACTTAGGGGGAGAAATGAAAAGTGGAAAAATGTGAGAACCCAAGGACCGACTGAGATGCTACCATTCCAGCATCATAAGGGCACCTGGCACAATCCTTTCTCTAGATATTTAAAGTCTGCACAGAAGAGGCACTTTCTGTTGCTCCCCATGCCCTTAGCCACCAGGATAGCCGATGCTTTACTGCATGACCTATGCTATGCTGGACTCACCACTTTCCTGTTTCAAATCCCATCAGGGTGAGGAAATATTCTGGCCCCAAGGATGGAAGAGTGGATATCAATTCTACTCTCTCAACTCCCAACTAGCGATTACTGCTCTCCTTCCCTATGGAACAACAGCATCTGCAACTTTATCACTCTGCTCCTGGTGTGGCTACTAAAAACTAGCCTCCACTACTAGAAAAAGTACTAACAGAGTCTTGACTGATACAAATTCAAGGTTCAAAATGTACTGTGTGATTCTGAATATATTATGTGAAAATTAATTCTCTGGTCTTAGTTTCTTAATATATCTCTATAATGAAGACAGCAACTACCTACATGCAAAGACTATTGTGAGAACTTAACATTACACAAACATCTAGCATACTCTAGCTCTCTCTTTCCTGTGTCCAGGGCCAAGGAGATAGCTCAGTAGAATGAGCATCTGCCTGGCAAGTGCAAGGTACTGAGTTCAATCCCTGATACCGCAAAAGAAAAGAAAAGGAAAGAGGAAAGAGGAAAAGAGAAAGAGAGGGGAGGGGAGGGGAGGGGAGGAGAGAAGCCTGTGTCCCTCCAAAGCATTTGCGAACTGATTCTTTCAGTACCTGTAGGTTAACACCCACCATGCTCCTAGAATAGCTGCTTTTTCTTCCTGCATTCCAGACCACAGGTTTAAGAGGCAAGCCAAATACCAGGCAATATGTTTTTACGGAGAAGCATGTTGTCATCTCTATAACTTTTGGCCAAAGAAACAGGACAAACTTAAAACTTAGCTTATCTGCCTACACTACTCAAATGCATCTACATAAAAAATGGTCCTGAAATATAAAGTGTATGTGTGCTGACCCCAGAAGGTAGTGTGCATCTCAGTCTCCATGTGGAAGGATTTACAAGCCAGATCACTCACCTAACTGTAGAGTCTGAAGAGCCAGTTACAATGACACGTTCATCGTACTGCAGACACAGGACAGAGCCTGTATGCCCTGTTAACACTTTCAAACACTCCAGGCTAGTTTTATCCCAGATCTATTGAGACAAAATCAACCACAAATAGTGATTTAATGTATCACATTTTGTCACCCCTTGTGTTCTGAAACATAAAATGTACCTTGGTTAAGAGTAAATAATAATCAAATACTAAAAAGGTGGGAAATGAAAAGAAATAGGAGCAATATGGATTAACTTGCAGAACAGGTGTGTTGTTTTGCTTAATTTGTACCCCTACCTATTGTACTCATTATACTTACTTATCAATAATAGCCTTATCAGGAAATTTTAAAATAAAATCTGTGAAAAGTCAGTTCCTTCTCAGAAAATCAACATAATATCTTTTAAGATCCTTTAAATATGCATCTACCCATGGGGCTGTAATCCCTCTATATTCTCCTGCTAAGGCAAGAGGACTGCAAGTTCAAGTCCAGTTTGAGCAACCTAACTGAATTAGCAAGAATCTGCCCAATATTTTCTTTTCTTTTTTTTTTAAATTTATTTATTTATTTATTTGTGTGTGTGTGTGTGTGTGTGTGTGTGTGTG